GGATGTTGGCTTCTGACCCTGGCATGGGGTAAAGGGTTTGTTCCCCCAGCCCTCCATGCTGCACATGGATTTGCAGATCCTGCAGGTTTGCTGGTGGGTTTTTTCCCAACTGCCCCTCCTCCGCCCAATTTTTCCCTGTTTTATCCAAGCCAGCCAAACCTCCTTGCTGCTCCTCTCCTTTCGGGCTGAGCTGGCTTTTAACCTGTTGCTCTTATCTCTGGCCAAGGCCCCATAAGATCTTTCCTCTGGGGGAAATGAAATGTTATTTGTCTGTGGCACAGCCTGGGGAGGGGATTTTTGGGGAGCGCTGTGAGATTTCAGCCCTGCAGTGAAGTCTGAGACTGCTCAGGATTCATGTCCTTTGGCTCAAACCCTGATTTCCATCTCTTTTTTTTTTTTTAACCATCTGAAGCTTCTTGTGGATGCAGCAGGGAGACCCCCAGGCTTGGGGATGCTTCAGTTGCCTCAAGATTGAAAAACAGGAAGGAAAAAGGGGTGAAATAACACTTTGTGCCCCCACTTTTAGCCCATTTGGGGGAGGAAAACCAGAGTGGGGTGTTGCAGGGAGTGGGAAGCCATTTCCCAGCAGCTTCCCAGATTTTCTATGGTTTGAGTGAAGCAAATACAACCTTAAAATAGCTCCTTCACAGGCAGACAGCACCGGCCCCGCTCCTCTCACTGCCACGGCCTCGACAGCCTTGTAGGTTTTTGCAGCCAAAATAATAAAAAATGCATGAATTTGTCTGTTTTTTCAGCTTTTCTGCTGCAAACACAGGGTGTGTGGTTTGCTCCCAGTGCAAGGATGGCTTTGGGAAGGTGGCAATTAGGGTAAATCAGGAAGGTTTGTAACCACAGCAGCAGCCTCTGTCTCTTGTTATTGCTGTTCTTTCCCTTATCAGCAGACTCTGTTTAATTCCTCAGTGTTCATATCGAGAGGGCAGGTTTAAACCCTCCCTGAAAGCTTCTTTATTTATAGATGCCACATTATTTAGGTGGGGGGGAGGTCTCCTGCTCTAGACTGCTCCCACCTACTGCCCTGGCACTGGTTTTACCTTTTTCTTCCAGGTTTTTGGGAGCATAGTGCCATGTAATGGGGTTGGGGTGTACAGAAGAACCTGCAGCTCAATTTATAGGGGAAAACAACCCAGATTTGCACTTTGAAAGTGAAAAAAAAAAGGGTTCTGAGCTGTTTCAGGGCTGTCAATCCCTCCTCTTGCTGTCTATTGACTGCCTTTGCAAGTAGCTGTCATCAGTAGGTTCCAGAGTGAACAAGAACCCATACAGTGCAAGGAAGGTCATTCTCCTGGTTATCCCCTGGACAATACTGATCTCAGCATCCCAGCTCTGAATTCTTGGGATGCTTATGGTGCCCTTGCTGCCCCACACTGTGTTCTCAGCTTCCAGAGTTTCTACCCCATCAGAAACTGCTGCCGATTCAGATAGCACATCCCAACCTGTTGTGGCTTCTCAGCAGTGACCCAGCACCAAGATCTACTGGCAAAACCAGCAGGTAAGGTCAAAATCCTCCCAAAATTCAGCAAACTTGAGAAAAATCCCAGTGATAAATCCCTGGGAGCTTTGACACCCGTCTTTGCAGCTAGAAAATGGGGCAGGAAGCTCCTCTGGCAAGGGGAAAAATAGAGAAATCTTTAATTAAAAAGCAATTTGCTGATCACCCAGGAGCCCTTTACCCCACGTGGGCTGATTCTCATGGAAGCACCAGCCAAACTGAATTTGGGCTCCCCCAAAATGGGCTTTTACCACTTGTCTTCAGCCAGATTTCCCTGCTGCCTGTAGTTAAAATTCCTGGGAAAATGTGCTGTATGTAGTTATTTTATTTCAATGTTTTCAATCAGATTAATTTATTTCTTTTGATCTCACTGTTGTTCCTTCTCCCCCCCAGGATTAATTTAATGACATTTTCCTTTGGAGCCACAGAACCGGTTTTGAAACTGAGGAGGGAAAAATCCTCTGAGACAGTGTCCGGGACAGAGGAAGAAGGAAGGAGTAACAAAGAAAACCAGCAGAAATCGGAAAAAATGAGACAGCAGGCAGGGAGAGGATGTGAGTCTCCCTGAGCTTGATGCTTTGGGGGCCAGCGCTATCCCTAGGGATGCTTCCCAGGGCTCGGCTGCACGCCGGGGCGTTATCCCAGCGTCCCGGCCAGCCTAT